TCTGAAGAGGTTGGAACTGCAGCTGAATATCATATTTAGTCATATACGGTGATCATATTCCACCAAAAACAAGCCTGATGGATATTTTGTCTCTGCTGGGTCAAAAGCAGAAACAGTTATTGCTTTTCATTCCAACAAGCCTGCGTGCCATCAAAAGTATTTTTCTCCTCTGATGTGTTGCAAATGCAATATAAAACCTGATAAGTTTGGAATTTTCAAAATATTTGTTGAAACTGAATTCCTCCAAGCATCCAAGTAAAGTACATTTTCCTTCAAATCAAGGCCAGACAAATAAGTTCTAGTTTGTTTTGCGGGTTATATCCTAGCAAGCAAAATTTTGATTTTTGCATCAGCACTATCAACATTTTTTTCAGAAACAATGTTACACTAAACTAATCTAAAATAAACTAAAATATTGAATAAATAAAATAAAATAAACAACAAAAACAAAATAAAATAAAATGAATAAATACAACATAACAACAACAAGAAAAAGAAATTAAACAAAATGAAATGAAAATAAAACAAAATAAAGCAAAAAAAATATTAAAATGAAAATAAAATACAATAATGAATAAATAAAATAAATAAGCAAAATACAATAAATAAAAATTAAATTAAATTACAAAAAAAAGAAAATAAAAACAAAATAAAAGTAAAATTAAAGTAATAAACAAAAATAAAATAAAATGAAATATTCCACCATAGACTTTAATGATCTTCTGTTGTCTTCTTCATGTATTGTAATGCTTTAAGTACATTATAAACCATGGGTCTTAAACTTGATTCCTAGAGGGCTGCAGCTCTGCACAGTTTTGCTTCAACCCTATACAAACACAGCTGATCCAGGATGTTTAAGACTACTAGAGACTAGGTGTGATTTGGAGGTGGTAGGAGCTAAAATTTGCAGAGCTGCGGCACTCCAGAAATTGAGTTTGAGACCACTACAGACTTTGTGTTGTCTGTCGGACCCAATATAGTCTTTAAGTTTCTTCAAGCGTCAAATTGTGCCCTGTGTGTAAACAAATCTGCAGTAAAACTTGGCCTGGAACTTCATTAAAGATAGTGAAGAAGTTCATCCACTCTTTCCTATGTTTGAGTCGATTAGAATATATGTAGTGCAAATATAACTTGGCACTACAAATTGTGAGCATAACAAAAAAAAATGTAAATTCTAAAGCAAAGAGCATTAAAAATCAACATATCTCTCCATATAATTAATATTGAGCTAAAACACACAAATAACACTTAACTTGAATATTTATTCTACATACAAAATGTGATGAAAATTAACTTGATTATTTATTCTGCATACGAATTGTGATGAAAATTTTGAACTAGAAATCTGCAAATCAACTTAACGCTATCCTAAATGGTTAGTTTTCCGTTATTTACTCACCCTTGCCTTGCTCTATACTAGAGCTGCACAATTAATCAAAAAAAGATCACGATCTCGATCCGACCCTACACACGATCTTAATTTAGGTTTTCTACAATTCAGCCAATTATATTTTCAAGGTCAGGAGAGAAGCGTAAACGCGGTCCCACAAGTCTTCACATTGTTTTATATACGTTGCTCAGCAACATGGACACCTCCAAATGGTTAAAAGTTGTATTTGCGGCTGCAAAATCACGCATGTGTGCCCGCCGATGATGCTATTTTAAAGAGTTCACACTTAGCTGATGATTGATTATAAAGTGTGTGTGACATGCTGTCCCAGGAGATAGCCCTGACCTCATCCTTGAGCCCGGGGCTTCCTCCTGTTTCCTGGGCGAGATGAATTTGAGCTCAGGCAGGTCTCGAGAACCCCCCTGTTATTTATGGCTAATGACAAATTAGGAATTGCTAAAGAGAGATATACTGCTGATTAAAAGCTCATTTATGGTGCTAATTTGGTTTAGTTAATTGACCTTTGTCACAAGTTTTCGGACAGTGAGAGGACGTGTAAACTCTGCACATAAACGTCGACTGGCCTGTTTTAGACTTGGACAAGTGACATTCTTGCTATGCGGCAACAGTGCTGTTCACTGGGCCACCCTATAGAGGAAAAGAAAGCAGGATTAGGGGTGGATTGGGGATTTCCTCAAGCCGAAGAAGACTGAGGTAAGAAACTACTCATTTATTATGAGTTGAGAATCATCCAATTGGTAAATCATGCATTAGCTAATGCGGGACCAGCTGCGGTCAATCATAGGCACGTGATCCTCTCGAAATTAGTTTATAAATAAACTTCACTTAGTGAACAGAACCTGCATAGGCTGTGAATAACACGTACAAAAGTTGTAAATTATGTTTAGCTTGTTAAACAGAGTGATCGTTTGGAAGCTGCGCGGTAAGTATGATTTGCATGTATGTTTATTTTTTTCTCAAAATGACGACAGCCATGCACTTGCCATGCACTTGGCAGTAAAAGTGAAACCGAAAGTGAGCACATCATTTAAATGATCATATCACATTTTAGAGTTATGATTACAACATTTTTTTTTCTTTCATAGTGATACAGAGTTTTGTGCATAAAAATAAAATGATTACAGGGTCAGCATAACTACTGTTGCCTGTATAATGTTAAATATAATGCAATCAGGAAACTGATAATGACAAATGTCTCATTTTACCAGTGGAAAAATGGTCTAATAATGTTGTCAAGCATAATGACAAGACAAATGACAAGCATATGTCTCAAACAAAATAATTCAACTTTACAATTATGAATAGTTGTATTCTGATGTCATCACTTTACTGTGAATTAACAACCAGGGCATATTTAAAGTATATTCAAGTCCACTATTCAAAGTCTAACCAAAATGTAGCATTTTAACCAACAATAGATCTACACATAAGCCTAAAATTATTATTGTAGTTTTACAATATGCCTGAGAAATAGCTATAATAATGCCCTACTCATATTAACCTTTATTTTATATCTGTATAATCGTGAGAAAATCATGATCTTGATTTTAAGCAAAAAACAAAACCGTGATTCTCATTTCAGCCAGAATCATGCAGCCCTATTCCATACCATGATACTGTGAAGAGAGATGAAAGCCACTGACATCCATAGTGGGGGAAAATATAACATACAAATACTATGTATGTAACAGTAACAGGTTTCTTTCTACACATTCTTTAAAATCTTCTTTTGTGTTCAACAGAACTTAAAAAAAAATCAAACTAGTTTGAAACAAGTGAAGAGAATTAAAATTAATTAAAGAATTAAAGAATTAAAATGTTGGTGTGGAATATCCCTTTAATGCAGTAATATTTTGCATAAAATGAAGAAATTTAGTTTTTTTTTAGTTCACATCTTAGTTTTTAAAGTGTACTTTAAAGTAAGCCAAAACAAACAAAGTTCTGTAGTTTGTTTCCAGTTATCCCAGTAGGCTTAACAAAGCTAGCCAGCAAAATTTACATTTTTTTGCATCAGCGCTAACAAGCAGGTTGTTTCAGCAACAATGTTCCTCTAAATGCAAGTGCACACAATAAAACACACATATTCCTCCCTGGACTATAATGACCTTCATTTGTCTTCTGCATGTAGTGGTTTTATAAGAATAATGCTTTGTGTACCTCGGAGAAGGAGCTCAGAGGAAAACCTCAGGTTTCGAATTGCGCAGCACACTCGCGCGACGCATGTCTCCTCTCGCATTGCATCTGATCGATTCATCCGATCGATGGCGCGGAAGACGATGAGGCCATTTACAGAGACACATACCCTCAGCAGCAGTCATCAACCACATAAATAGATGTAGCGCTGATACACTACAGGACGGCAAATGCAAAGCCTAATGGAACGCTGTCCCGTTTGAGAAGCGCTAATGAGTGACCTAAAACCGGAAGCGTGAAAAATGTTAGGACATTTAAAAACAAGCATGTAGATGTCAAGCGAGATATGTGAGGCTTCTCTTTGCATTTTTAGCAGAGACGAGGCAATAACAAGCTCAGAGTTCAAGAGGAACGGAGCCACACTTGATGACAGAAATAGACAGGACGCTACAGTTTGTGTAGGCAGACTTTAGCTGAGCGTGGCAAGATTTAACAAAGCTGAGACAAAGCATTACAGTAAAGGCACACCAAGACCCCATCTGTTCAGAAAGCTCTCAGATCCATTCTCAAGAACACTAGGCTGAAATTGTACACCGCTCAGCATGGGACTGTAGGGTGTAAGGGAAAAGATGCGCGCTGCAAAACAATTCAATATCTTAAGTGCACTTTTGAGTGCCACAACAGCACGCTTATGTAGCGAGACGTAGATGCGGAGCGTTGATGGATGTGTTAAAAGTGCGCCGAAGACTCGATAATTAATTGAATCGCAGGTTAAGTGAAAATCCGAACAGGTCCATGTTGTGTTTTGTATTTCTAATCAGGACCAAAAAATAAGCACCTTGGTCTGTTTGTTGAGTTATTTAAGCCTGCAGTAATTAGTGTCAGGACAAAGCACTAAAGGTTAATGAGCATTTGATAAGGCTGTGTTTTATTACCCAAAACACTGCTTACTTTTTCTTACTAAAACATGACACCTCTGCAGATGGTTGGAAAAATGTGGCGATATTTGGCATGTATCTGAAGTGTACACCCCCAACCTGGGACGGATTTGGCAACGGCGATGTTAATTGTTTTTTTTTGGAGCACGATTATGACGGCAATCGACTGTGCCGTAAATCACAACAAAGGTCTGACTATCGACACTTGATTTAGTGAGGAGAAAAACAAAGCCTTCTGCCCTATTTTCCGCTGCTCTCTGGGCTGCGTGTCTTAAATCAATATCCATCAACGATTTTGAAATTACACCCAGATTAAATCCCAATTTCATCACCGGGAGTCACATCTGCTGAGTTTCATTTAATTACATCAGCCTGGAAAAGGAGAATCAAAGTAGTTTGTCAGCCGTTATTTACCCAACCCAAATGTCAACAAAATCCCAACCCAGCGCAGAGCTGCTTTTCCTCATGCGCACATTGAATGATGTAAAGATTTCATGAGAAGTCCTCTTAAGGTTTACCTTGTACGATGAGGTGCACTTTGGTCGACTCTGGTTTCTTGTTCGTGAGGATGGAACACACATACGGGCCCTCGTCGTACAAGTTCACATTTAGGATCTTTATACTGTATTCATTGACTGCTGTGTTTAGCAGAACCACCCGGGGGTCCAATGACCATTTCTCATTGCCCGTGAAGAGGATGGTGGTCCGGTTGAGCCATGCCACCCGTGATACTTTGTTGTCCACACTGCACCTGTTGAACAACACACAAATAGAAAAGGGAAAACATGAGTGTTCGCTACATCGCCAATAACCTGTGTTTGTTAATATTAAATAATTATAGTCAAAACATTATAATAGTTTTTTTTGTTTGTTTTTTTTTTTACAGAATTTGACATTTCTTTAATAACGTTAGTCAGGATTCAGAAATTAATGTTTTCACCTAGTGCTGTCAAAAGTTTAATCAACATAATCACATTCAAAATAAAAGCTTGTATGTACAAAATATATGTATACGTGCACTGCTCAGCTTAAAGACGACTCTCATGGAGAATGAAGTCACATGAATTGCTCAGGGGAGGTTTTTTTTTTTTTTTTACACATTCTGTAGGTCTGTGGGTCTCGTAAGAAATGTTTTCTAAGAAAAGTGGTGACGTGTTCAAAACTTATTTCGCCCACTGTGTGCTTATTTATGTTTATAAATTAAATATTTATTCCTAATACAAATTTAAATGCAATTAATGACAATTAATCATTTGACAACAGTAATTTTAACCTTTTAAACTACAGTGTGTTTGCATAAGCCAGTCTTGCTTTTAAGGACAAAAAGAACAAATAAAAATATAGTATTTATATGCTAATCAGATTTTTCTCTGTATTCATTCATTCAATTTGCGTCTGCTCAGTCCCTTGATTCATCCGGGGTTACCACAGCGGATTAAAAAGCCAACTTACCCAGCATATGTTTAATATTGGACTTGTATTATATATATATATATATATATATATATATATTAACATCTACACTCATCGGCCACTTTATTAGGTACACGTCCAACTGCTCATTAACGCAAATTTCTAATCAGCCAATCACATGGCAGCAACTCTATGCATTTAGGCATGTAGACATCGTCAAGATGATCTTCTGCAGTTCAAACCGATCATCAGAATGGGGAAGAAAGGTGATTTAAGTGGCTCTGAACGTGGCATGGTTGTTGGTTCCAGATAGATTTTACAGTTGGTTCTAGCGATTACAGAGAATAATCCAAAAGAGAGAGCATCCAGTGAGCGCCAGTTCTGTGGGCGCAAATGCCTTGTTGATGCCAGAGGTCAGAGGAGAATGGCCAGACTAGTTCGGGGTGATAGAAAGGTAACAGTAAATCAAATAACCACTTGTTACAACTGATGTATGCAGAAGAGCATCTCTGAATGCATGTCAATATGGACCAGAATATCTGAGGAATATTTCCAGTACCTTGTTGAATCTATGCCACGACAAAAGAGGATCTAACCCAGTACTTAGTAAGGTGTACCTAATAAAGTGATCGGTGAATGAGTATATATATATATATATATATATATATATATATATATATATATAGTTATCACGTCACATATCTAGTTGTCACATATCTAGTTATAACCTAGTACATTTTCTTTAACATAAATATTTTTACCACAGTACAGAAAGTTCAAGCTAACTTCTACTTTAAGAAAAGAAAAATAATAATAAAGCAATGATTTATATTCTAGATGCAATACTAGGGCCCTAACCCAGAGACCAACCTTCAATTGAACAGACTTTACTAGAGAAATATCATAATGCCCACAATATCACTTTAGCTCCCATGGAACACACACATCTACACACACACATATATACACAACAAGACAACAGGTATAAAAACAGATATCTGTCCCTTCTCTCTCCTTTTCTATTACAGATTTGGAGAACCAGCTGCAAAAACGGCAATAGCTTTTCATCTCATCCATTTCAAATAGCCGCGAGGAGAAATTAGGGCAATTCTGGGCGATAGCCACCTTTCAGTTCAGAAGAATCTGGATATGACACTACATTTGTCTCCTTCACAGGAAAGGACATTTCTTAAAACTGCAGAGAAAGACCTAGAGGCGTTCGCTATACTTATCTTTTTTACCCTTTTCTAAACTTTTGAGTGACGGCTCTAAAGGTTAGGACTAATTGAAAGTCTGAGCTACATATTAAAAAAAGCGAGGCTGCAATATCATGCACCTCGATGTATTTTCTCCCAAGCAAAAAATACTATTTCCATGGCTTTTATTTGTCATTTGCTATCTGGCATTTGCTTTATTAGTCAATCGTTATTTAATATTACAATGGCACTGAATGTGCTGCGTTGACATGGTTTTCATCAATGACACTTTCGCAAGGTGCACCGAGGATTTTTGAAAATGCCATTGCCAAACCCTTCACGTCAGCATGCCAAAACACTGCAGTAATTCATATTAGTCTTTAAGAGGACTTCACGCTCAAGGTCAAAATCAGTAAATGGATTATCAAACCCTTTACTGGTAAATTTCCCGGCTCTGAAAATTAGTCAACAAGAGAGCGCTCTTTTGGCAAATCTGGAGGGCAACAATTGCGAGTGTGAAGTGAATGCTTTCTCAGGATATTCTTCAAAGGGAAAAGCTCATTCAGTCTCTGTTAATCTATGCAGAGTGCTGGAGAGCTAGAGAGCTTGCAGAGGATTTGAACCATAGAAAACCACAAGATTAAGCGGCGGTCTATAATCATGCATGCTCTGCAGTTTTTGCTCGGGAATCACGGTGCACATTTGAACAATAGAATGGATTTTTTTTTAAAGTTTCAGTCTAAAAATAACCTCTTAGTCATTCAACGCTTGGCCTTAAGACCTTAGAAGTGATGCAAAACCTATTGTTCATATTTGAACATCTTGGCGCTGTGAGCCTAATTTCCTTAAACTTTTTCATGTTGAACTTGTATACCCCACACAACATACAATTCACAATAGAAAATCAACATTCAGAAAAAAATAATGTACACAAATTATAATAAAAATAATACCAAACAACAATTATAACATAAATGTTAAATATCAAATAATACAATAGACAGACCCTTCAATTTCGCCTCTACATGCTCGCCAAATGCTGTAAAAAGCTACCCCATTTCTTATAGAAAGTATGGGTATGAGTTCTGAAGTCCTGCCAACATACAGTTATATGATGCAGTAGAAGTCATCAGCTCAATCCTATCCTTAAAAGTGGAGTATCTATCTATCAAATTTTGTAGTACCAGTTTCACAGTCATAAAACATCCTGCAATGACTAGCCCAGCCCGTGCTTTAGATATCCCTTTCCATAGAGTGAATGTATCATCAAGGTGACAAACTCTCGGTGAATAATGTAAGGAATATGGCTGATCAGAAACATAATAATTATTATTATTATTTTTTTTACAAATGCATCAGCAAACACAGCGTCAGCTTCTCCCATACAGAAAAGACTGGATGGTCAGTTGTAATCTGATCCCAATGTATTTAGGACACCAAAGAATGCTCACAACTGGACACACAGAGAACTTCTATAAGCTCCTTGCCTAACACTGATGCTTTTAATGTAAACTTTTATTCTCTCTGTATGTGTAATCAGGTGTTTTGCAACACGTCTCTTGCTCATGTATTAATATTATGGTTTTAATACTTCTGCAGTCAAAGTTTAACTCTACCAAAGCTAAACAAACTTATAGATAGTTCATGTGTGATGTCCCTGCAAAGCTTAGTTGGTGTACTGAACAATTATTTACATTTCATGTTAATATGTGTGCAACATATGTACATTTCAAGTAATTCTGCATCAATTTACACCAAGAACGCCTATGCAAATTACACCAATTTGAAACAGAGTTGAACTTCTCATTGGTCAACTCGGCTCCAGAGGGTGAGTACAAAACCATCCTTAAAAAAGGCCACCTAAGGCCACTGCCCAGAGACTCTAGAAGGCCCAGACCAGGGAAAGACTTGAACCCAGAACCCCAGAGGACTCCAGGGAGTAGGTGGGGCCCCAGACAAAATGGGTTAATCACACAGCTCAGACATTTCCATCTGCGATACCTTTCTTTCTTTTCTGTCAAGAGAACAGTTTTGCCACCTCAACTTAATAATCTAGACTCCACCTCACTCCAAGCCTCACAAAAACAAAGAACTGATGACCAGCTAACCACATGCTCAACCACGAGTTCTTCACATCACAAAAGGAACGCTACCAACAATTCCAGACTAGCACAGAACTGGTGTAAACTAAATATAACTCGAAAGAGAGAATAGAAGGGTTAAATTCTTTTTTTTTTTTTTTTTTACTTCACTTAGTTTGGTCTTATACAATTCAAGGTATTTCCATCATTACACTCTCTCAAACTCTTATTTTACTTTCTTTACACTTCAACTGTACGAATGTATGTTTTTGTTAGATTTGTCAATAAAGTTTCATTTTGTATAAAGAAAGGTGCATTTTTATGAATCTAATGTCTTAAATTTCGATGTTGCTGCCTTGCTTAAACATAAATGGGTTTTAGTTTTGATAGAATTAGCCATAATTAAAGTCAACTGTCAGTTTGAACTATTGCTGGACGATGCGTCTGTTCGGATTTAAAGAGTTGATTCTTTTGAAGCCCCGGTTAAATGAATCTTCAGTTCCCTTTGAGATAATTCGTTACAATAAAGTAAAGGTTGTCCCAGACATTTCTCAAGATTTTGAATAAATAATGTCCAGAATGGAGCCCACACACCAGGCCCTGACCTAATCCCTATCTGCCTTTGGAGTCAATATGGACCTTCTTTGGTGAAAAAGACATGTATTGCTATTTAAACAAATGCATGTGATAAATTTCATTCCTATAATAGTGGTTATTTTCATTAATCCTAGCCTATGCAGTCTTCCTGGGGTCCAGTAATATCAATTAATTATCTTATAATGTATCAGTGTACTTCTAGCATCTCTCATAGAACCCCCTATACCAGAAACTACAGCTTCCCATTAACCCTCTTCAAATTCCACCTCCAAGTCTTTCTCCCAAACAATTCTCAAATGATAAGTTTTTCCATACATGTTGTTTGCAGCAATCTTATACACAAAAGATATAGTTAGCACTGACTTTGACATATTTAGAAAACCCTATAAAACATTTGCTTCTGCTCCTGCCTTGTATCCCACAGATCGTATCCTACTATGCAACTGTATATATTTCCAGAAATC